CGGCGGAGCCCCCTGCCACAGTTTGGCTGCAGCCTAGTCACTGGTGATGCTGTTTCTCTGTCCCCAGATGGGAGCCTCTCAAGGTGACCTCAGCATCTCCCCGAAACCAGCTCCTGCTCCCATAGGGATGCCAAGTGGCCTCACTGTCCCTCTACTCAACCCTGTCCTTAGCGCCAGTTTCCTGTGGGCCCACTCAGCCTCCAATATCCCTCCATTCACCCCCTCTCCCCACCCCAGAGCTCCGCCTGGTTTGGCCTGTTCTCTCTCCTGGGGTCCTGCTCTGGCTTTGTTGACTCAGTTTCTGTTTCTGATCCTCCTATGAAACAATTATGGTAGCCTGTTTAGGGCAGTCCACCCCTCTCTTCTTTAAAACCCCCCTGAATCACAAACATCTACCAAGTGCCATAATATCATCAGCCACACAGCACAGGACTTTTTTTTTTTTTTATCTATGTTCACCATTTAATGCCCAGCCTAGATAACAGGACTTCCAGAACCATCTGCCACTAAATGTATGTAGTTGGGTGCTAGGCCAGAGCTGGCCTTGCAGTAATGTCAGAAATAGTCTGCCCAACTCAATCAACTAACTGCTCAAAAGTCCCCAGACTACCCCTTCCTTACTCTGCTTCCAAACCTCCTTTTCAAATTATTTTTTAAGAAGATTCTTTTGTGATTATTGCCTTTTTGAGACAAGGTCCCACGTAGCCCAGGTTGGCTCCAACTTGCTATGTATCTGAGGGTGACCCCCACTTCCTGACCCACCTACTTTTGTTTCTGAGGTGTTGGAATTGCAGGGGTGTGTACTTTTATTTCTGAGGTGTTGGAATTGCAGGGGTGTGTCAGCACCATGCCTGACTCGAAAAAGTGATTCTTTCCCGACTCTTAAAATCACACAAGCTATGCCTTTAATCTAAGCACTCGGGAGGCAGAGGTAGGCGGATTTCTGTGAGTTTGAGGCCAGCCTGGTCTACGGAGTGAGTGCCAGGACAGGTTCCAAAGCAATACAGAGAAACCATGTCTCAAAAAAAAAAAAAAAATCACACAAGCTGGCAAGAGGGCTCACCAGGGGAAGGTGCTTGCCACTAAGCCTGACAATCTGAGTTTGAACCCGGGTTCCTCGTGGTGGAAGGAGAGAACAGATGTCCTCAGATCACCACACATGCACTGTGGTGTGTGCATCCTACCCACAAAACAAACAAAGAAGCCAAGTTTAGACGTTAAAAAAGAAATCATACAAGCTTTTCTTTTTCTTTGAGGAGGGAGTCTGACTGTTTCACCCAAGCTGGCCTCTAGCCCATGATCCTCCTTTTCAGCCTCCTGAACTTTGGCATAATAAACACATGCCAACACAAAGCCAAGCAGCTGTTAAAACAGGAAGAACTCCAGCTGTTTTCTCTGTAGGAGTTTTTACTCATTACAGATGTGGGTCTTGCCAGAGTAAGGTACCTCACAGTGTTTCTCAGACCCACCTCATTCTTTTCTTTAGATTTATTTTTATCATGTGCTATGTGCATGTGCGTGCAAGTGCTCATGGGGTCAGATCCCCTGGCACTGGGGTTACAGTCCCTTGTGAGCTGCCTGATACGGGTTCTTGGAATGGAACTCGGGTCCTCTGGAATAGCAGTGTACATTCTTCGCCACGGAGCCATCTTTCCAGTGTCCCGCCCCCCACCCCATTCTTTATTGTGACTCCAGACTAACACATTGTGTGGTGAACCTTAGTTCACTGACTCCCTCTCCCGACAGCCACTGGGGCTATTTCTAAGGCTGCCCTGCCTGTATAATGCTGCAATTGACATCCCCACATCTTCTTTGCCACTGAGAATCCTTTCTGACCTTGAGACGCTTTGGTCTGGCATTAAGTCTTATTTTGGGAGCCAGACAAGTAAGATATAGACACCCACAGCAGGCTGTCCCAGCTGGGCTGTGCACTTATGGGGTGTTGCTGACCACAGCTTCTGTACCTGCCTCCTTTTGAAGAGCGGTCTCCCAGCGATGGGCATGCTGGCATTCAGGGGTTGTGGCACTGTCTAGTACAATGTGGGCCTGAGATCGCTTGGGGTCTGAGCGACCCTTTCACAGGGGCCAAAGATCAGACATCCTACATATCAGACATTTACATTACAATTCATAACAGCAAAATGACAGTTATGAGTAGCGACAAAAATAATCTTATGGCTGGGAAGGGGAGTCACCACAGCACGAGGAACTGTATTAAAGGGTCACAGCCTTAGGAAGACTGAGACCCACTGCTCTAGTACACGAGGACAGCCTGGCCTCTCGGGGCTCTGGAGGCGTTGGCAAGTGTCTTCAAACATCTTTGAGATGGTTCATCTGCCTCCCCACTGAACTCACAGAGTCGTTAGGGCCCATTTTCCTACAGGTTTCAAGCCCTTCCCCTTCCCTCTACTCAAGTGACACTGGGCCAAGTTCCTCATCGGTAAGGTGTCCATGAAAGGCCTGGCGCTCACTGGGATGCCAGAGAGGTCAGATGGAGGTTATGCACCTAAAGTACACCATCCCGGCAACAACTACTGAAAACATTTACTCCTCCTCCTTGCCCCCCTCCGGGGGGGGGGGCTCACCCTCTGCATGGAACACCATATCTGATCTTATTTAAGAAAATTCTAAACCATTTCACTCATGACACTGTGACTACATCTTGGTCTTGTTCCTAGATCAGCTTGTGAGTTCCTAAAAGGAAGAGTTTGGCTAGACCCTTCTAGAATCTTTTCCAACCCACAGAGTTTGCTGTGCGATCCTGGAGAGCCCCCTGGGATTATGGCTACATGACACCACACCCACCTGTGCCAGTTTTATAAGCAACCCTATAAGGTCATTTCCCCCACCCCATGAAATTTGTGAGTTTGGGGATCAAACTAGAAAACCATCTCTTCCAGGCCCAGCACAAATGAGGTTCAGAAAGGGCTGAGGAAAGGGTGGGTAACAGTAAGAAGACAATATGGAAGGGGAACCATATTGGGCATTTTTCCTTGACAGTCCCCAGAAGCCACCATTCCCCAGGAGGCTGTACTAATCCCCAGATGGAATTAGGGACCAGAACCCATAAGCCAAGGACCCTTGGGTAAAAGCCTCCCCTTGCCACCTCCCCCCAGTGTGGAATGTGGAACCAAGTCCATCTCTCTCCTTCCCTCCAACCCGTTTCCCCATCTCACCTGAGCCTCCTGCACCTTCCCTGCCTGGGTCTCCACAGGGTCAGAGGCTGGGGAGGAGGGGGAGCAGACGTGGTTACAGTGGGGGGGGCAGTTAAAGGGATGAAGGATTCACAGTGGTGGAGGCAACGAGAGAACCCACTAACCTAGTTATCCTGGAGTCAGGGACGGTAGTAAAACTGTCGGAGACGGGGACAGGCATATTTTAGAGTGGAAGACACATGTGTGAGGTGGAAAGGCTGAGGGGGAGGTTTAGGAGGAGAAAGCAGGTGCGACAGGACTGAAGGAAGACTTCAGAGTCAGGCAGGACGCGGTAGTGTGAGTGCCAGCCAGGAGAGAGAGGGAGGGCGAAGTTTTTCAAGAGATGGAAATGGGGATACCTCGGCTGGAGTTGAGTGTGGGAGAGGAGATGGAGTGGAGGCAGGAGGTTTAGGAGAGACACAGGAACTGAAGGAATGAGATGGAAAGGGGCAGCAGGGGTTCCCGAACATCCTACAGTTGCCCCTAACACCAGATAACCTTAGCAACCGGGATCGTAGCAACTTTGGTCCTTAGCAACGAGGGTTCTCAGCAACCAAGGTGCGAGAAACGCGATCATTAAGAACTTGGCAAACGGACCCTTCAAGAAATCTCACAACCCAGAATCCCACCAACCTAGCAACACCGACCACTTAGCAACGGCCCTCCAAATCCCACTCCCTTCGTGCAGCCCCTTCCTCCCACCCCACCGAGCCTGTCCTCGGGCCCCGGGGCCTGCAGCCCAAAGCCAGGCCCCGGCGCGGCCCGA